ATAAGATGATGTTCAGAGAGGAGCAAACAAAAACATAAGTTTCATAATGATTCTAGTATTAAGCATAAACCACAGGTTCATAACGATCCTCATTTTTGGTACCTCTTCATCTCCAGATTCCTCATCTCCGGATTCATCATCTTCCTTCTCTGAACCAGAGTCAGAGTCAAAGAGTTTAGGTTTCCTAGTTTCAACATTTTTTGCAGGTTTCAAGATTAATGGTTTCACATTACTCGAACCATTAATTTTTGTCTTTTTCAGCAGTTTTTTTGTTGAGTCAGAAATATTAACATCTAAAAAAAATAAAGAAACGTGTTTACTCACAACAGTGATGGGATGACTTTAATTACTAAAAAAAATTTGAAATGGTTATCCAAACCACAATTGTACTGTTCCCCCATATTACGTCACAATCCGTTTTTGACTGTTTAAGAACCTCAAACTCATAAGGGATGACAATTCAAAATAACAAACAATTTATATTATTCATAATAACAACATAAGGTTTTTAGAAATGAAGAATCATTATAATTTCCCACCATACCACTCAGTTGCTTTGACGCAGGTTTCTAGGGTAATTCTCTATAAAATTAAATAATAAACAATTTGGTTACCTACCTGAACCTACAGCTTCATTTTCTTCATTCTTTGTATTCTTTTTGATATTCTTTTTGAAGTGATGTTCCAAACTCTTTTGTAATTTTAATTGTCTTTTTCTTGCACGCTGCTTTTGCCTGCGAGTAAGGGTCTTCGTCTCACCATCGCCTGAAATAAAATAAAATTAAATGAGAAACACAGTTTTGCAGTTTCCTTGTCCACAACAATAAAGACAATAAAATTAGCATTTTCATGAGTAAAAGTAAAGGTTGCCTTGATTATAAAAGTAAACTAGATTATGAAGACTACAAAACTACTCGGCCTTTTAAGTTTCAATTGAAATGAGTAATAATTACAAAATTATACGATATAATAATATTGTTGCACTAAACAAAACAACTTTTAAATATTTATTGATGATAAATACTACTTTTCTATGTTTGAATATTTGTATTGGTAATGTTACCTAGAAGTACATTTTACAATGAACTATTTGTAACTTCTCTACCAAAAATTTATATAACTTATGATCTTATATTAGTTTCATTATTACTATATTTTACAGTAAATTTCTACATATTACTGCCAACAGGCCCCTTGGCAAATAAGTCAAAAATTTATAAACATCTTAAATAGAATATTCTACCTTTTTTCTTCCTAAATATTTTGGTTCAAATTTATGGCATTGGTTAAATAATTAGATATTTTGTTTAATGTCAAAGATACATCCATTTCACTTATCTCTTGAGAGAATCTTATCCAGTTTCATTTATTAACTGAAGAAATTATTCAATTGCTAGCTTCCAGTATTTCCACTTAATTCAAAACTGCTACAGCTAGGCTACCAACAACATATGTCATTTAACACTTTTCTCATTTCATCATTCCTAGGCCTTCCACTCACAAATTCATGGACTCCTTACATTTTATAACCTTTTATAACCTAAACATATATCATACTAGCAGGTACCCAATCCTAACAGAGAATTGATCAACTTGAGGTTCAAAACTATTAATGAATATTTTCCATAACCCTCAAAACACAAATAAAGCCGTCAAATAGAACGTAATCAAAATAGAGTGAAAATAGTAAATAGTACTCTCACCTTTAAGATGCTCTGGAAAGACAGGATCTTTCTGCTTTTTCGCCTTGCGACCAGGTCCTTTAACAGCCTGATCTTGAAACTTTCCTTTCCTTCCCATGTTTGACTGTTTTTTTACTTAAAATTAATAAGTCGTCATACCACACGCGGCTCCGGATTCAAGTTTTGTTACTGCAATCCACAAAACACGTGTTTGAAGCACACCGAAGCACACGCACCCACTGCAAGAACAGCAAGTAGTTCTGATAGTAAACATGAAAGCCGCAAGATAGCGTCGCCGGTTTAATATATAATCATTTTCGTGAGACGAAGAGCAGCGCCCTCTGAAGTGTGGCCGCAATGCACAGAGAGAGCTACTATCGAATTGCTGTGCTACACAGGAAAGACATTTTCGCGGCAAAGATATTTAAATAAAAGTCGCGTCGTCACAAAATGGTCATATTTAAAACCCCTTATGTCAAATGCACTCAAAACTATTTCAGCAGAGGTTGGGGACGTCCCGATTTCTACATTACCGTCGAACTGACAAGTTCTGGCGCTATTCATTCTTGTATTTATTTAGTGTCCAAAATTGTGTGACGTACGAGGAGAAGTGTTCTGTAAGCTGTACTTATGTTCTTAAATTGTGGGATCTCTATCTATCCCAATACAAGTTGAATTCTGAATACACTTGGAAACAACCATTTTGTCAAGAATTAGTATTTCACACGTTTTCTTGAACCCTGAAATATCTTCCCCCACTCTAGAGGCGGGATTTCGGGTTCTTTAGAGAGGGGAATATAAAAAAGAAAATATTCGTTTATATTAATTTTTAAAGTGAATTGTGCTGCAACTGCATACACTTTTCAATTTTCTTAAATATTTAATTATTATTGAATATTATTAATTAAATTAGTTGAACACAAAGGGTACGATACTCATTATTTGAACGGTCCGAATGGTAAATTCAACGATGCATTTCTCCCAATGAATCATATATTGAAAATGTTTATTTTACATTTTACATTATATATATATAGCTAAATAATACATACTTTAAAATCTATATTAATAAATTATTTTCATTTAAATGCAATCTCCTGTTTTGGGCAAGATCCAATTAATTTATAGTTTTATTTATAGAGGAAAAGGTGATGTGAGCTCTCTTTTTACTTCGACTTTAAAAAATAAAATAAATCCTTTTTTAAACAAATATGATGATTATATCTTCAATATTTGTTAAAATTTATAAAAAATATTAACTTCATTAACTGTTAAAAGACTGGGTGAAAAATAAATAATTCAAAAGAAATAGTGTTTGAAAAACTAGGGGTACTACAGAATGGCACAGACTTTCTCGTATTAGTTTTCTATTTTCTTTGGTCTGTGCTACCTATGCAAATGCTCTAAATGTACTTATTAACGGCATGAGAGATATTTTAAAAAAATGTAATTTAGTAAAAACAAAATAATATCCCAAAATCAACTTAGTCATATTAAACAGATAATTTAGCACTATCTGTACAAAAAGTCGGGAGATTTTCGAAAACTGAAGATTTTGTGAAAAAGAGCTTTAAATTTTGCATTTTCAGTAAAACTTAAACGTCATTGTCTGAAAAACGGTTCCAAATTTCACACCAAAAATGTCCTTATATGACGAGGTTTTGATCTTTAATATTTTTGAAGTAATAATTCGGTTCTGTCGCAGGGAAACGGAAAATTAAGATTGTTTCTTTAAATGTACGGTGATAGATGGAAGCTGGCAAGAGGATGGCACGAGAATGTAAGTTTTTTCAGACCAACGAAATTATAAAACTAACCAGAACGAGAAAGAGTGTGCCATTGTGTAGCGCCACTAGTTATTTTCTCGTATACGTACGTATATGAGGAGTAATAAATTTAGTAAGGAGAATGCTATGTAACACTGTGGAAAATCGATTTCGAGATTTCGACAGTGATACACGTTTTGGGGATCCCTGTAACAGAAAAGTTGTTGGTTTTGTCTTCCCAAAATGCCCGTCAGTCTGTCCGTCTGTCTGGTGTAGGTGAACTACACCAGCGCCTAAACTATGCGTATAATTTTTTCCAAACTGAATAAACACCTGTCGATCTGGCCTGAGTCGAAGTCTTTCTATTTTGAAAAACAATCATTAATTATTGGAGGTACTTTACATAAAGCTCTCGGGACTTTTTCAAAAACTTCTTAAAAATAACTCGAACTTTTTTCTTTAATTTTATTGTAAGAAGAGAGTGAAATACATTTATAAAGATGGCATAGGACCGATTTTCACTAACAACTCTGAATTTTTGAAAATTGCAAGATATTGATTTTTTTGGCGTCTTCCTATAACAAAATTTATGATTGAGATTGTTCTTTCAAGTATTTTTTTCTTCATAATTAGTTTATCTCATGAACATTTTTTTAAAGTTGTATTGGTTTTCGCACAATATTGCGTCCAGTTTGTGCAATATTAAAAAAAATATCAAAAAGATTTTCTCAATAATGACTCCAGATTTTTTTCTTTAAACTTTTGGAAATTGTTAAATGTACTCTTACAAGATGATAATCTATTTTTTGTTTTTTAAAAAAATCACAGTAAAGGTTTTTTTTACTTGTCCCTCACGTCGTTAATATTTACGTAGAGAAGATTTGTTAATGCATTTACGAGCACACATGCTTTAAATGATGTCATAAAGTTTTTCGAAAATTCAAAAATTTTCTGTGAAAATGAGCTTAAATTTCCGCATTTTAAGTAGCACTCAAACACCATATTTTTCAAACACTACGGCTCCAAATTTTTCTTCAAACATTTTGTGCAGATAATGCTAGTTGCAATTTTTTAAGATGACATAAAATTTATTTTGGAGTATTATTTTGTTTCTTCAAAAATTACAAAAAAATAATAGTTCTTACACCGTTAATATGCACTTTTCCGGCGATTTGTATACATTATTGCATTTATGAGTGGCAGTGCTTCAAACGAGTTCCAATGAAGTTTTTCGAAATCTCAATAGTTTTCTGTGAAAAAGATCTTCATATTTCGCAGTTACAGTAACGCGTAAACGCCATTTTTGTAAAAGACACATTTTCAACGAAAATTTCCTTATACGATGAAGTATAACTCTTCAATAATATTAAAGTAATTTTTCGGCACGACCGAAAAGCTATCGCCAACTAAAGAAATTAGGAAATTAACTAGTACGAGAAAGTCTGTGTCATAGTGTAGGTCCACTAGTTCCTTTTTGTTTTGGGCCTAGAACCCTTCATAGCATCTAAAACAAAAAAAGTACGAACACATGTAGTGTATGTAATACGAGCCCGTTAATGCATGGTGCTCTTATACGCACTATAGTTCGGGGCTAAAAAACTGTCTTTGATAGTTCAAAATTACAAATTGCAGGCATAAAAAACATGTCTAAAACATATTATATTTCATTCGTTAAGAATTATAATCGATCTAAGCAAATTCAAAATATAATTAAAAGCCAAAGACGTCCCTTACAAAGCTTTTAGAACCGAGCAAACACGAGCACCACTATTTCACATCAGCTCTCATTTACAACTGAACAACAGAGCTTTGATGGCAAAAGGAGTTATTAAACTAGTTAAAATCGTTTCTGCTAGAATGTCTGTGATGTGTGAAAAGATACCAAGGGGGCTCGTATTGGCTCACATCATCACCATTGCCTCTATCTATATCTATAATAATCGGGAAGTACTTTCTTTTTGAGGGTTAAAATTTGAGTGTTTTGACACATGATTTTAGACACAAATATGTTCAATTTGTAAGTAAATAACGTTTAAAAGTAAAATCTAATTGAAAGAGAATTTATAAATTAGTGATACTTACAATAACGCTGAACATTATTACGCGCGATTTATAATATTGAACTAAAGTTCACTAATTTATTAATGTACATTAGGTCAGCTTATAAAATTGTTCGCTTTAGTATTATTATTATTATTATCATTATTATTATTATTATTATTATTATTATTATTATTATTATTATTATATTTCTTCTCAAAATACAGAAACATGAAAATATTTTATAAATAAATTTGAAGATCCGCGAAATGTCTAAATATATATTTTTTAAATGGTCCGAAGGTTGGGGGCAATTGCCCCCCCCCCCCAAATCGCACCTCTGCCCCACTCCTTTACTAAGAGCGGTTGAATAAAGCCTAAATAACAGCTACGAGCGTTGTTGACAATATCAGATGTCTAGAAATGTTCTCCCCCATGTAACAGAAACTTTTTTGCATTGAAAAACGATTCACAGATTTGATATAAGTCATATTGTCGAAATAACCAACCCTCCCACTCTTCTCTCATCTAACAAAATGAGGCTCAAGAAAACGTGCTGTATGCTATTCGCTCCCATGTAGTAAAACCTAAAGGTAAATAGCCTTTAGATTATTGCTATAATCCCTCAGTGTGTCCTCGTGAAGGAATCGACTTACTAACCCGATAACCCGGAGAACATGGAGAACGATAATTTGAATAACTATTTCTCAGTAAACTCTTGAAAACGTGCACTGATAGTGAAGTTACGTTTATGTGAAGAAGGAAAACAAGAGGCCATTTTAGAATTCGCCCAAAGGATCAGGAAAACAGAGCGAAAAATAAATCGAAATGGGAGTTATTGACCCAGAAGCTGTGGTTCAAAACGTGTTACAGGCATATTTAGTATTTTACAATGATACAGTCCAAACGGTAACCAATGCATTAAATAAAATTGTTAAAATCAATATTACTTTTCTTTTTTATGCTCAGAAAAATCTCTAATTGTATAGAAAGATATGCAGTAGAAATGATGTTTCTTGGCGCTTAAACGCGTGTAGTATTGATTTTAATCGTTTAATATCATCTGGCAATATGTTCTAAATTAGGTGACTTTTTTCTATTGAGCTGTTGATCCTGACGCCTAATGAGAATTATCACTACGTTGAGTGTTATAGTTACATTATTTAGTATTCGTATATGATATAGTTGTATTATTCAGTATTCGCTGAAAATATGTTCTCTCCTTTGAGGGAGCCATTATTGACAAAAACCTCGGATTCGAAAATCGAGGAAAGACAATGGTTGCGTATTACTCATTCAATTTTTTGCGATGTACGAATTCGAGTCGATTCGATAGCATTCGTATTTTTACTTTTTCACTCTTAAGAAGGAACTTCTAATGAAGAGAAAGTTATGTAACGTTGTGCGAAAAAAACGCGAATTTTCGGCAGAAAAAACTCTTATTACAGGGCCCTCGTAACGAAAAATTGGATAAATCCAGATGCTAATTTTTGTTTTTGTTACCCGGCATTTCAGAATACACGAATGTAATTCCATCCGTTGTTTTACGTTCGCCAAAACCCTTCCATCTGATCACACATCCTAAGAATCTCCAGACGATAGTCGACTTGTTTCTTTCTGTTTCCCTCAATTTTCCTGATCCTAACAAAGTACGTACAGTCCAGCATCCAATTTTTGTTGACCTTTTCACGCCAAAAATCTTCAACAAAGTAGTCCGGTCATTCTTTGCTATGGGTGTTTTAATCAATCGATTTAAGAGAAATACTGGTAATTAGCCAATACTTCCGAGTGTCCACTAGTGGGCTGACATCATTCGGCCTGGACACTGGCCTAGCTCGTTTGGATTGCTTACGAGCATTAGCGTGGATATTTCCTCCCGTAGCCAATCATCCTTAAATATGATTATTCCGCCAATACTCGGTCGCCATTTCCTCGCTTGTATCAACAGGGACCACCCCCGGAAGGTGAGGTTGGCATTTGGTTGTGAGAGGCTTCAACTTGTGCATCAGCGACCCTTAGGCCCAAATGCTAAAATTAGAAAAAAATCCTCTAACACGTGGTGTAGCTGGAATCCCTGTTTTGTGTGTCCTTTATACCGAAATATCGATTGACGGCAAAACGTCTGTCACTTTCTGGGCACAACGCTTGGGGCTAAACTATTCAGTCTATTTTCTCCAAAATTGATACTCTCCAATCGATCTGGCTGATGTCGCCGTCCCTCGAATTGGAAACCGATATATATATATATATATATATANTATATATATATATATATATATATAAACTTCATTTTAAATTGCGTTATTTAATTGTGTTAAACGTGAAAACGAAGAGTCATTGTTGGTTTTCGTTACCAATTTTTGTAACACCGCACAGATAACAAAACGTGATAACGACAGCTATTTTTCATTCGCGGTCATAAAAACGAATCATTTGATATATTTGTAGAATATTACAATACCATAGTGATTAGTAATTACTATTGTGTATTCTTCGATCAATTTGTTTTCCAACTCTACTTATTAAATAATTATTAACTTTTATTAGCTTATTTATTAACTTTTAATTATTTTACTTTTTCGCGTTGTGCTTATTTTCCGCATCAAATGATCTATGATTACAAATGAGTTTTGCAAAAAATAATTTGGAGAAAAATTGTGGTATAAATAGTATTACATAACCATTAATAACGTCTAGAAAGTATGTGCTGATTTAGCACCACTAGTTTTCTTATCTTTTTTAATTTTATTTTTTGCCCGTTCGGCCTTTCGGTCTTTCGGAAGTTATTATTTACGATACATACATTACATGAGGACTTAAGTCTCTTCCATTTACATCAGGGCACAAGTATACTTACTTGAGCTTATTTGTCTATATATATATATATATATATATATATATATATATATATATATATAATAAACTATCGAAAAATGTTTATTTAAGTCTTGAAACTTGTCCTAGCAAAAGAACTTTCAACCTTGGCCGTACAGCTTATGCACCATTCAGGATATTGTCACGCTTTCCAAATTATTGTTCGCTTAAAGCCACCTTAAATCGCTGGTACTAATAATATAAACAATATATGGGATTGTAATAACGGTAATACATTTTTGTATATTGTTTAATTAGTAGGTATATTTTTGAATATTTTGGTATTAAAGGTAAGCAGAATAATATATATATATATATATATATATATATATATATATATATATATATATATATATATATATGGATACATGGATATGAAGGAAACATGTTACAGCCTCTTTCAAATTTTATGCTACGATGATGATTTTTAATTTCCGAGAATGTCTGAGCCGTCGGTCGTTTACATAAGTGCTCCCGAAATTACATGCTCATTTAAAGCGGCAAAATACCAACGAGAATTGTGCTATACTACCTGAAGAAATGCTTACATATGCACTCCATTAATTAATGGATTTCTTATGGATATATTCATTTCATGAATGGCAGAAAGTATATACGAGTATAAGGCAGGAATGAATATTCGCGAACTATACTCGTACACAAGTGTGAAGGCAGACTGAATTAGAAATAATTCTGAATGCGTAGCATTATGAACTTAATTTTTAGTTCAGTTCATATTAACTTCCATTTGAGGTTTGACTGAATTGAGAAGCCTAAAATGTTGTAACCTTAACATAAATCAATTGCAGATCGTTCATTTTCAAACATAATTGTTTATTTGAGATGGAAAACTACACTAAAACTGTTTTCCCTTCGTTTACCATTAATTTGTATTTACAGAATGAGTTAGAAACACACGAAAAGAAAAGGGCCTAAAATCGAACCCTGGGGAACCCCTGTGTGTAATTTTCAATAAATCAGAAATGTAAGTAAATAATGTCCCATCATTACTGTATGCCACCGGGCGCATATGTAAATGATATTATGTTACTGACGCTTCACAGAAGACAAATCTTGCAGCAAGTTGTATTTTTGTTATTTTTAACACTTTTCCCAAAAGCCAGTGGGAGAAAAATTAATGTAATGTGACAAAAATTCAACTTCGAGACGACACATTTTGTAGGTCCCTCCAAAAGTGTATTTTCTTCTGTCTGTTAGATTGCACGTCTGTCCGTGAATGTCGCTAGAGTCTAGCGATACAAAGGACTTTACCAAAGATGGATGTACCCTAATTGATTTACCCCAACTCGAATCTCTGCGAATTGCAAACGTATGGTTTCATTTTTTTCGCTGATTGGGAGTATGCCTGCTTTACATGAAGCTCCCAGAATTACTCCATTTCTTTCCTGTATTTTTATATTGAAATTTGTGTTTTTTCAAAATACAGTACATTTAATCTCGTTTTCTCAATTTGTTGGTCCCCCTACTACTTTTTTGAAATGTTACTTTGAAAACATCAAAGAAGAGGAAAATACTAGTATATAAAAAGTTTGGGGGAAATTTGAGCATTTGCTGAGAAAATATCATTTGAGCGTTCCTGAAAATGGTTTTGAGCTCCATTACATACAAAAATTTGATATTTCGATAAACTGCTATACTTTTTTGAGCTCCATTACACACAAAAAGTATTGAGATTTCGATAAACTTCAATACTTTTTTGAAAAAAAAATTGAATATTTTTTGAGGATATATTAGAGAAATTTTGGAGCCACTTTTGAGAAAATTTTGAATATGTCCCAGGGACTTCCAAAATTTAAAGAATTATTTTCAAACTCGCAGGTCTTTGAATGGGGGAAATATTTATTCTGGATAAAAGCCTACGAATAGTTTAGAAAAAGAACGTTTTCGGTATCAGGGAACCCTAGACGTAGATATTCATTGAAATCTCAAAATTGATATCCGCAGCATTAATGTTCTCTACTACGTATGCTACTCTGTACGTATTCGAGAAAACGGATACAACTCACTTAAAACAAGCCACAATTCTATTACTTTTCAATAATAAATTGTTACAGATTCTCAAATATTCATTTTTGTTCACCAAAAAACTGGTAGAAAGCACTCAAACGATATTCTGGCAACTAATTTTAAACATATCGTATCTTTGGTGAGAATTACTTTTGTCTCATTATTTTACCCATAGCTTATGAAAATCTATCTAAAAAATTAACGAAAATTTTCTCAAAAACTGTTCGGTTTGATATTTTCCCTATATTATAAAGTACCCACGAAAATTAAAAGTATAGTTTCAAATGTACAGGATATTAAGTTGAGTCAGTTCGATAAGAGAATATCGTATTTTGATGTTCCTCTGCATGTTTTATGATCTTGTAGTGTTTGCACAGTTAAAGCGGTGCTCAATTTCATTATTTATTATACCTATGGAACACATTATCCAGAATATCATTATATTCACTTCGTATTACCAGGAGATTAAGACCCTTTATTATATTTTATATATGAAGATGAAATGCGAACAGATTCACGCAAACTGAAGATGTAAATAAATGTAAATACGAATCTTAAGAAAATGGGCATTGTTTGTCTTAAATTGTTCAAATTAAGTAATAATATAGGGTCGATAACATAAGAAAATATAAAAATAAACTCGAAAGAAGAAATCAGAGATTTTATTTCTATAAATGGAATTATAATTAAGGGATTTAAATTAAAATACATGTAGCATTAAAATGCATACAATTTAAAAAAAGTTATTTTAATAATAATGTTTCATGAGAGATTATGTACAAATCTAAGAGCAAGTAAATGTAAAGTCATCCGCTTACTGACAGCAATTGCTCACTTTACTCAGTAAACTTCATTAAATACAGTCACTGCTCTTGTTTAAAATGAGACGACTAATGAGCAGATCTATTATGCATGTTTATCTAAAGTTCCTGGGATCATAGATCATGACGAGGAATGATTTTATTTTTAATCTAATCTGATGATGATTGTGGTGGTGAATCACTTTTCTTTTCTCCAGTCTCCTTTGAAGTTTCCTTTCCTAGAACACAAAAATAGTAATGTTAGATAGACCTAGGTACTCTGATGTAGAATTACAAATGTTTTACTTAGTATTTATTAAGACGTGTAATTGAGTTGTTACTCGGTGCGCCTTCGATTATTATGGGGGTTAGGATGAATGGGGGCCATGGGAGCAAGAGTGGCATACCAAAAATATTATTAGATCGCATTTAGGCATCTGTAACCCCATCCATGTAAGGAACTCATTTATTCTCACTAGAAAGTCATGCCTAAGTGAGAAAACCTACAAATACAGAGAATGATTCAAAAATTACCCATTATCTTTATTATTTATAGGCGCATATGTTACATTTTAAGACGGATATGTGGCCAAGTCGCGAATTTGTCACTAATTTCACACATTTGCCAAACTGGATACTCGTAAAACTAAATGTCTGACGATGAATGGATCACTTTCGACACCATTCGGCTACTGTTGGCAATAGCTTTAAGACGCTGACTAAGAGTGAAGTTTTTGTCCAAATGTAAGGTGCCTTATGTGTTTCAGGGGAGAATTTTCACATAAAAATGCTTCGTCCAGAATCAAGATTGTTTTATGTAGATTGCGAAGGACAGGGGCCTCATCGTTCAACTCGTAATGTTAGGCGAAACGTCAACTGAGGTGCAGGGACGTTAGATTATCACCAAGCATTTATTTACCAAGCGCTTCCCAAATGTTTATTTACGACAACCACTTATTAAGCTCCCCCCCCCCGCAACTTTTTTTACGGAATTCGTGGCTCACCTCCTGAAAAACGCTTCTAAACGCTCTGTAGTCGCCTCAGAAAGGTATTTATCAGATGTTTCACGAGCAAAGTCGCTAGGAAGTGAACTGTAATCGCGTAACTGTGTTCAGGTTCACATATTTGTCATGTGAATGTTAATGTGACGTGATTTTGGACAGCCAGTACGCCTATGCTCGAGAGCCTGTCTTAGCAATATCATTTGTCCGATAGGAGTTCACGGTGTGTAGCCAGTCGGGAAAGTAGTCAGCAAAAAAAGTCTCATTCTCTAGGTTTCTTCAATGAAAAAGGTCGGCAGCAGTTTATTTCGAGAAGGTCTGGAATAAGAATTACTTTCAATATATTCGTATCCTGAGATATTGGCGCTTATGTAATAAGTTAACAGATGTGCATTGCTACTATCAGTTATTTGGATTTCCTGATAAAGGTATTTCAATTTTTATTGCATAAGTTATGTGTTTACAGAGGATTATCTTGGAGAGTGTTATCGTTAAAAACGTATGAGAATATTTGTTGCATTATTCCTTTTTTATATACTATAATACACTCACGAAAGAAGGATCTGAAGATTACAAAATTATTTGTAATTTAGCTTAAACGATACACATTTTCAGTCTTATACATGTTCTTGCTTATTTAAAATTAGTTAATGAATGTGTGCCTTTTCACGTTAATGAAACAAAAAAATCGACGAATTTACATATTTCGAGGAATTAGTCAAATGCTCCTTCAAATACAAGCGGTACTATCTGATTTAGTGCATTCAAAATTCAGTCGAATCTCCTCGCTCTTCAAGTTAAGTCCTGCCCAAGGGGCTGGATTCAGGGCATCGTGTCACGCAAAAGGCCAGGTCCCTCCCTTCTTCCCCCTCCCCCTCATTCACCTCGCCCTTTCCTTATCTGCGGGCGCTGCTCTTCCTCTATGTACCCCCATCTTCCCATAACTGAGTTTGGATGTTTTGCCCCTGATAATGGCGGCAACCCGTGTACCCGCAACGGCCCTAAGGTCAGTCAGTCCCCGCCAAATATTCCTTATCGACCGGGAGAGGTGGCTCAGGGCATCAATTGAATCGTTTATTTTTAAAAATCCGTCAAACGCCAAGTTCCTCATTTCGAGAAAACTGAGAATAAGTCTCCCAATATTTCGGATTACAATTTTTTTTTATTAACGGAGTTGATAAACGAATATTTTTCATATCAATATGCACTAAACGATGTGTCTATCCTCCTGGAACAATCATCCATCGCTAAAGCGTGTTTTGCAATTTGGCGTTTGACGAGTTTCTGAAATAAATGATTCAATTGATGTTACTGCATTGCCTCTGACCGGGAGATCCTAAGCTGCGAGTCTCGACGGTGGTAGGATTTTTGACAGTAGCTTCATAACTAGCTCGAGTTCAGCCGCCGTGTGAAAGAAAATTCTTGCGACTGGCTGCTCTAATCTGCCGTTTTCCGTAGTTCCTCCAATCAATACCAGGCAAATGCCGGAGCAGTACCCTAAAAAAACGGGCCACAGATCACACTCGATTCTTCCTTCCCATTGCTTGTCCTATCCTCACCCCTTACTGACACACACATTCACGACACTACCACACATACCGGAAGACCGGTCGGGAGCTTAGGGTTAGTTCCGACTAGCTACCGACCGCTAGCCGACTAGAACCGCTAGAACCGCTAGAACCGACTAGAACCGATTAGAACCGACTAGAACCGACTAGAACCGCTAGCCGACGGTTTGTCGGCGCCGGATCTCACCATCCGGCGGAGCAACACCACAGCAGTCTCCCGAACAAAAACATGCGCTACACTTACGGGACTAATGACTTTAGCAGGTGACGCGCTCGGAAAAACCAGTCATTTTCAATCTATCAATACTTACCGCCAGCGGAAGCCACAAACTTCAAGGAGTGACTGAATATTCAGAACCGCGAACCCCCATCTTCTCGATCTCGTTGGAATTCGTGGCCCAAGGGGTTACCGCACTTTCCGCACGACACCTGCAAAGAAGTCGCAAAACACGTGAGCACACGTGATTGTAATTCCCACGCCCCAAAAAATGTCCTCGCAGGTTCTGATATAAGACTGGTGTGAGAAAAGATTTGCCGTGAAGGCGCTAGGCATGGGCTATCGCCCTGCGCCCCGCAAGTCATGGTTCCGACATGATGGTATGACTGATGAAAAAATGAATAAAAAATTGAAAGATAAATTAGAACTCGATAAAACCGATATCGAATTTTTTTATGTCGCAGAACACCAGTCCGATATCTCAAAAAATATTCAATTATTTTTTACCTTATAGTTTATTCATTACTCATAAGGTAGCACTCTATGAAATAAATCAAATGATGCTCACATTAAAATAGGCTTACTGGAATTCATATTAATTATTTCATGTATTGAACAAGTGATTTTATTAAACATTAACTGAAGACGTTTTTAGCGTTTCAAGCTCATCAAATAATATATTCCACGATAACTAAATACTTTTACTTAAAACTTTTAATTAAAATATATTATCAAAACCTCTTTCTGGGTTAAACGTTGTAATTTTTGTGATTTGCAGGAATGAAATTAACTCCTAGTTTTTTGACACAACTTTCACATTTTTAATTTTTTCGGGGGAGGGGGACTACGTTTTGGCATTGCCCGGGGCCTAAAATTGTCTAGCTCCGGCACTGAAGATCCAGAATCTGATGTTTTGGGTGAAAACGTTCATTGGGTATTGAAAGCTCGAAGTATTATCGAAGATGAATAAGAAATGTGAAGGCCACGAAAGTTTGAAATCTAAAAATTAAATTGCTTTGAGACGTGGATCTGGTACGAATATCTAAAAAATTGAGGAAATTTGACTGCCAAAATTGTGAAATTCTAAGAATAGTAAAGGCAATCAGAAACTCGGGACGAAATCTAAATCTAAATCTAAATTGTTGTATATCATTTTTTAAACTTCTTTATCTTTCTGTTACGGTGGATTAACTACTGTATAGTCAACACAGTGATCAACTCGTAGTACCATTCGCTATATCCTGGTTTAGTCTAGTACACGCAGTACACTTTGCTAAGTCCTCGCTAGTCCACTTAGTGAGTGGACCGCTGTCCCCTGTGGAACGCTCTTTAACCTTCAGCATAACAGATTTTTCTTTATTTGCCATTAATCGATCAGTTGTTTTTCCATATTAGTGCAGGAATGATTAAAAATTGGGGGTTTAAATGTGTAAAGTGGGCAAAATTTGCCCTTGGAAATTCTGGCGAGGATTCGTGTTAGTTGAGGGTCAGGTATTGTGTTGAGAATAATGTTTTTCCTAGTTGACAAATATTCTGCATGGGAAGATTAAGTAATTTCGAGTAGGATTTTTCTGTGAAGCGTTGAGAGATAGTTGGGGAAATTGAGGTCTTTAGGAATTTTTGTTGTCGGAAACATATCAGGGAGCATTTACTATTGAACTCAGGACTTTCTTTTGAAAAATTTGGAGTTGTTTAATGGATGAAGTAGGGCTTTGTAACTGTGTAGGGATCTTTTTTATGTAGGGAAGATATCTTAAGGTATAATCACGGAAGGGCAATGTATGTCAAGTAAATTCATAGTTCAATTACTCCGACATTCACCTGGGTGTTCATTCAAAATTCACCTAGGCAATTGCAGGAAAATTAGAGGAGTATGTGCCAATAGAGAGACACATTGAATCAATTTTATGGATGGTGTTAAAAACGTCCACTAGTAATACAAATTAAAAAATCATTGCTTGGAGGAACAGTGTGTCTTAACAATCATGTGGTTGACGGAATGGAGAAGAGTCGTTGAGAAGAATAGCAGGAAACGCCTATTGCAAAACTAAGTGTAGACGAATGTTAATGAAGAGATACGTAAATGAATTATAAACGGCGGAATGTAGGAAAAGGTCTTGGAATCAATGAGTTGACGGATTTACTCGATTACCAACCAGCCTGAAGTGAGAAGACGCCAAAATGGCCGTAGTTCTGCAACGAAAAACTCAACTTTGGCCGTTGTCGGACTCCGTGGTAAGGCCTTTTGTGATAGAAATGGATGTAGGTTGGGCGACAGATATGCAAGACGATATGGTGGGTAATGAGAACGGAGATGGGAGAGATGTCTTCATTGTTCACAAAAGTCGACATCGGGGTTCGAGAGCGATTTGTAATCCTCTAAGAAAGGTAGAAAGCGAAGGTTCTGTCTGTTATGCTATGCCTGTAGGGAACGATTTTCGGGATGTGCGCATAACCCATGACAAACTCAAGGAAGCGATGAAGATAACGATGGCCATGTGAAAGGATCGACGATGGCTGTGAGGAGAGAGAAAGAACGACAGGTCTGCGAATGAATAAATCTGAGATAATTATGATACAATTAATTGATAAAAGGGCGAAAGAGAGAAGGCTGAGGTGGTCTGACGAAACGAAGCCAGAAGAATGTTGAAAATAATCCAAAGCATCTCTGGGTAAAGAAATATCTTAATGTTAGATTACGAAAACGGAAGATGTTTTAATGGAGAGAGAAGTGACAAAATCTTTAATAGGATGAGAGAGGCACGGAGAAGAAAAATTAAAGATAAAACAAGTGTCCAAAATAGACGTGGGGAGGGAGGGGGGCAAGTAAAAGCAAAGAAACAAGGATATGTGCAATGCTTTCATTATTCAAGGACATGGAGAGTGGTTCTATTCATGAGCATTGGGCAATTACTGATACGGCATTCGTTAAGTTTAAGTAATTTCTCGCACAATTGACTGGCAAGTAATGGTAAAAGACATTCCATGAATTTCATTACGCCATATAGTTAATATTTCTAGCACAGAAAGTGGTTTCTGCAGAAATAAGGCAAATCCCGCACGTAATCATTATCCCATAAAAGACGGTACTTCTCAGAAACTTTCTTTACAGGTCATGGTTACAATCTATGTCAACGTACGAGTATCAACGTTCGCAAATCAATAGAACATCGGTTGCGAATTCAATCAATATGAAACAAGATATTGAACAAAATAATTGGAAAGAGCATTGAAGACCACGAAAGAAATTAAAACATTACAATGTCAAAAGCGATTGCATATAAAAACGGTGAGCAAATGAAATGGGGGGGGGGGGATATGATGAAACAGAATGATAAGAATATGCATAAAACAACCTATATAGGAAGATAAGAATTGACGTAGAAGAAAAAATGGAAAATCTCTATTCATTTGGAAAAGTGAACACGCTAATGCACCAAGAGGAAGATGTACAATCGTCAATCTGCGATTTGTATCTGGATTGAGTTTGTGCATGGGTGGGTGGTGGGTGATACAATGTATAACCACCCCGGGTTTTACTGGACTTTGCCAGACCACTACAATTAAATTACTGACATTTATAGACTCTTTAGAATAAGTAGTACATAAACTACAACATTTTCGATGTCCAAATTCATTATTTGATTACGACGAGGAAATGTTTGTCTGCCATGCCACCGTCGTGTATTCTGGAAAAGTGTTATTATAGATACATATAACCACTGGTGATAAGTTCTCATCAAGTTCTCGTCAAATATTGACGCATGATAAAATTAAATGAATTAGATATCAGAACAATGTTGAATTATAGATTTTATTCTTTGAGTAATTTGCCCACTCGCATTGTAATTTAATAACGCTCACCTTCAAAGCTAAAGGTCGATTTTCTTCAGGAACTTTACTCAAGGAGTCTTCGTGCAGAGGTGTGGCAAAAGCCGGCCACGGAGTGTCGTGCTCATATTTCGACAAACTCGAAAAAAGTTCATAGTTACACTTGACACAATGATAGGTTCCTGAAACAAAAACCATTCATACAAATGTTTGGAAAACGAGAGAGTTTTGAAAATGTTTATTTTATATCAATAAATTAAACAGTTAATATGGAGTAGTGATAAATTAAAACATTCGGTAATTTTCAGATGAATGGGGAATGCTTAGCTATCATGCATGTATCGAAGCAATTTGTAAAATCCTCGCTTGCAAAATCATTCGAAGAAATATTTTGATCGTAATTGAAAGTCGCACATAAAAATAACAATTTTCATTTCAGTAAATTTAGATAAATATTTTTTTCAAACTCAAAGAACAAGCAATCTGTTGTCTGACTTTTTATTTCAGATAAATGAAAAATGGGAGAATGCGGAAACCCTTTCATATATTAATTGTTTTTCATATAAACTCAGAACGGAAATAGCTCATTAGACATAATGGCGCTATCCCATCCGAAGCAATGAGCAAGTGCAAATCGCGGAAATGTGCTTCAGTGCGCGGTGACTCATATTTATGTCAGAGTTTCACTAAAATATTCTCCAGTTACGAAAGTATAGAACATCGGTAGTCTATCGAATTGTTCATAGCTAAGACATTTTAAAACAGTGAATCCTCCAATTATATATTGAATTACGTATTAACTCAGAGACCTGTATATCTCGAATTTCGAATATCTAATATATCGCACAGACACGCAATCAGTCTCTCAAACCTCAAAATGTTTGATACCTTGATTTTACTTCCTAGAATACGTATATGGTATAGAGAAAGACATCAAATGATGCTTTTTCCAAAACAGATATGTAATGGTCATGTTCAAATACAGCCGTTTATTTACAGTAAAATCCGAAGCATTAAAATTAGTGATGATCAATAGTATTAAAAAAATTAAATTTTCGAAAAGTTGAACGAGTACAACCTTTTTTCACATATTTTTCAATCGAATTGTGTCAATTTTACAGAGATACGAGATTATTTACCAACATCAGTGTCGTGTTTTAAAAACATTGGTCCCCATTTCTTTAACGTGCTCTAAATATTAGTCTAACCCTTCTCCTTAGTCATCCCGCTGACGCAATGCAACTATTGTCATTGGTACAGACGCTGGCGCGTGGCCACGCGCTAGGTTTGGTTTGCTATAACGCCATAGGTTTGCTATTCTCTAAACCTCAGAGTGGGGTCCCGTGATCATATCAGAACTACGCAACCACAAACGATTCATTCAATGCAACGATAAGGAATAAAATTACAGCAAAATCTCGAGATCTGGAAACTCAATAGAAGAAAAAACCTGTGGTTTTTGCTACAACATACCACAGTTTTTTTTCGAACAATTTGTAACTTATGTAAATATATAATTGTTATTTTGTAATTTATTGCCAAGACAAGACAACATTTCATCCCCAAACACATTTCAAGATCAATTCCTCGCTATTTTGAAGGGATAGGGATGATTTCTCTTAATGAGATGATAGTAATACAATAGATTCAGCCATCCTAGCGGTAGGGATTTCCATCCCAAGGGCCGATTCCCTGAGAAGCTAGTGAAATTCACAACTCGTAGCGAACAGTTTGTCAGTGGACTGTAAAAATACTGCAATTTGGGGAATGGGCATCGTAACGTTGTTCTAATTTTATTCCCCTACAACGAAAGAATGTCCAGCAACCAAAGAATGGCATCAAGAAATCTGCATTTTGTAGCGGCGGGAGAATATTGTCAACTCAATTCTATGGGGAACATATTGACTGTTTTTAAGCGAATCCTTGCTACGTCTCATATTTGATTGCCTAAATTACAAGGAAATGCTAGTAGCAGTGTAATATTTGCTAACAGGAGAATAGAGAAAACTACGAAGAAAAAAGATAAAGCGAGTGCGAGTGAAAAAGTTGTGCAAGTGCAAAAGTTATTTCAGGAAAGGTAAAGGATGCTATTTACGGCTCGTGGTGAGCGTGCTCGCTTTCTACTACGCTGCCCCGAGTTCGATTCCCGCTCGAGCCAAGACTATAGTGTGCGTTTTCCTTGCTATGACACAGACTACGTTGCTGTGTGACGATGAGAAAAGAAGACCGGAACACGGCGTAGGGATGTCTACGTGCTAACCACACGTACTCCCTTAACCCATGGCCGCGACGTAGGGACGTCGCTGGTAGGCCTGAGCCCGTTTTAAGGGCTATCGCGCCAAGTACATACATACAAAGGATATAATACAAGTGTTTCGTTATAACTTCTGCTTTGACGTATGGCTGAAGGACATAGTATTGTTGGATCACATAAAGAATGTTAAATTGGGCCATTTTGAATTGTAACTTCGGTTCACGCCATCCAAGTACTAAAAGAAATGTCGGTAAACCAAGTTTTAAATGTTTCCTAAAGAATCATAGGATACTATACTATTTATGTTCCTTATTCTGTACACATCACATCTCTCTCCTCTCAAAACCACAGTCAATATCTCGTAGTCCTGAATGTGCTCTGGTATTGAAATTTAGTTGCCTTAATGATTCATGAAACGGAGCAATGATGGAATGGGAGCATCTGGAGAAAGTTCCCCGCGAACCCGCTTTGTCCATCATAAATTCCACTTCAATCCATTGAAAATCGAACCGCGTTCTCAGCCGCGAAGGATGGGCGGTCTGGCCACTAGCCCTGCACCATGAAACTAGTTTCAATTTCTCGTGAGTTAGGATTCAGCGAACCATTCAACAATACCGTAACGTTCGGGCCCGCAAGGCCAGCAAAGCAGACGGGCCCGTTTAAAACGGGGCCTACTTTTAGGCTGAAGATATTGCAGTTGTAATAAATATTAATTACTTGATACATTTACTGTATCGACTATCGCAAAGTATCAGTGAAAGATCAAAAACAGTATCTTACAGAACGAGTGTTTCTCGCTTCAGTAGCGTATGTAACCCTGTTTCTAATTCAATAAAGGAAGCAATTCATTTGGGTTTTATAACAGTCTTAATTTCAGTAATTTCATTATTAAATAACAAAGGCAGATGTTTCCACTGTTGGTTATTAATCATAAACTGAAAAATTCGAATCTGTTAAAGGATATTTTTATTATTTAATTAGCACTACTTGTATTTTCTAAAGGCTTTCATAAAGGGGGCCCGGATCAAAGTTTTGCGGGCGGCCTGCCCTCATTTCGTTACGCTACTGATTCAATCCATAGGGTCCATTTCCCTCGGCCCTGTTTAGACCCGGCGACTGTTGTCGCAATCCATCACTGCATCACAAAAACGGCGCGAACTTTTGTTACACATGCAACCCTTCAGTATGCATACAAAAAAACAGACTTTATCAAACTGATTGTAAAGCCGCTACCGTTCTTAATTTAATTACCCGAAGGTTTTATTGGACGTCAACTTCGTAGTAGCAGGGCTCAAAGTCTCTCGTGCATACCCGGCTTCCTCCTGAATCATCCACTGGTTTTGCCAAAACCCTTTATTTCAGTTGTACAAAAAGACAGATTACTACTTTGAAAAAAACTTGGCCGATTTAAGCCGTAATACAATAAAAAGCAGATTTCATAATTATGAGTGTTATCAGAACTTAAATACAACAAGAAATCAATAAATAAACGAAATAAAATTAGTTAACACTTGTAAAAATTCTTATTAAAGCGAAAGAAGTTGCATGGGTGACATCGCAAAAATCACATAAAATGTTTTTCAATCGAAGATAAGCGTATATTGGTTTATTGAGGATGGGTTGTTTGCATTCCAAATATTTGAATATTAGGCGCTGTCACTGCGAACACTTTTCTCTATTGCTTTTGCCGAGTCAGTCACAATTAGATCTGGCACAAAAGAGGCTTTTTAGCTGTGAAACGACATAAATAAATTGATATTTTTGGAAATACGCATTGGTATTATGAATTTAATAAAAAGAGAATGAACGCGAGTACTAATATAGTATGTACCAGATCTGATGATAGTTAAGTCATCAAAAGCTGCTAAAGTTAAAGAAAAAAATTTGAAATGAAAATGCCATAATTTTAAAAAAAAGATTGGTCACGTTAGTATCACGAGAATTTGAAGCAGTTTAATAAATTGATTTTCCTTCATTTTTTGTGACATGTTCACGAGCGGCATATTCAAAATAACCGTAGTCCTGTCTCAAAAAATTACATTTCTCTTCGAAGCTTTATAAATCCAGCTGTGTTAAAGTGTCATGATTTTTTGCCATTTCATTTCACCAAATACATAAAAACAAACATATGGGTAATTTGTGGAACGTATGCTTTTTCTATCTGTAATTGTGTTGTTTTTTCGAGAATCGTAAAATCATTTTCTAGTACTCTATTGTACTTTTATTGGGGTATTGTCTCGTTGTAATGTACTCTGATAAGGATGGAAGAAAACGGATTACAAACATGGCAGTGAAACAGATTAAAGGTTTGCTTTCTTGATTTAATTTTGGAACGTAAGAATAATTAAGACTAAATTATAATATACCGCAAGGCCAATTCATTGAACGAATTTATTTCAAAGAACCATGCCAACGAATTACACTTCACGTAGTATTATATTAAATACTGCTATTGCAAATTATTGTAATGTCCTGTTGTAATGAATCATTAGCAAAGCAATGGTAATTCTCCAAGAAAATATCATATTTCTCATACAAAATTTAAATGCACTTCGTGATAACTTACAACTTTATAACTTTTAAACTTGCGTCGTTGCACCTACTCACTTCACATGCCACGCGACTCAAAATTAAATGAAACCAAATAAAAGAGTATATGCGCAGGCGACACTCCAAAATCGCATGTCCGCTGTATAGTCACCGAAAATACACTAGATATGGGGATACAGGAGATTATCAAGTCCTCAAAATTTCACAAATCTAATTGAAGATTATATATTTTATTGATGTTATTGATATAAGCATGTAGGAGACACACCTGTACGAGTTAAACGAAAGCGTCATCAAAAAGATGTTGGAAGGTGCGGGGTGTGTCTCACTCACCCGATCTGAAGTGGTCCCGGTAGTACTCCTCGCCCTTCCACGAGC